AAGTTACATCACTCAGGGAAGATTACGGGCGAGATTTTACACAATGCTCTTTTTGGCTGCTTTCGAGCCAGCAGTAGAACTCAAAAGCCGGGTAGAAACGTGGCTGAGGTCCAGAGCCCGACTCTTTGCTCAAAACAAGACTCACGTACTCGAGGCCATGATTAGCCGTTTCATTCCTCTACTGGCTCACCATCCTGACTACAGCTCTGACGTTGATGACCTGGCTGATTTCGCCAACTATTTCGTTTTTTATCTGAATACCTGTGCGACAGAAGAGAACATTTCATTGATCTACAAGTACGCTGAGCGTATCAAGCAAACGCGCGATGCACTGAACCCCGAGGCTAGCGAGCGGATATACGTGCTGGCTGATATCGCAATGGCCGTCACACGCAAGTGGCAAGAGAGGAAGAACTGGGTTTTCCAGGCTTATTCCGGCAATGTCGGCCTGCCAAGCGGTCTTGTGCAAAGCTTGCCGTCGAGTAGCGTTGCCCATGAGATTGCGCAGAAGCAATATATGCCAGAAGAGCTAGACGAGAAGTTGGACGAACTGCTCAAAGCTGCCGATCGCAAGAAGGTTTGTGCTCCTTAGTCACTACGAAGACCACTTCTAATGATTGATCATAGAAACGAAAATCAACAGGAGAAAAGCAGGATCCTCCAGCAAAGAGGGCGAGAACTCAAATCAAGACAGTCATCCGAGAGAAGCGTGATAGCAGGCCCAAAAAGGTCTCGAAACCTAGGAAATCCAAGCCAGTCAAAGACATACCACCGCCTTCGGAACGTCGTCGCAGTGGTAGAGCTCATAAGGTGTCTGTCTATACAGAGCGAGAGGACGAGGAGGACGAGGAGGAGATGCTGGAGGGCGTGGCCAACTGGGAATATCCAGAAAATGATACTGAAGGTGGCGAGGCCAGTTCAGGCGACGATGAATCAGAGCTTTCGGACGCTCCCCCGGAGGAAGATGAAAATGACGATAGTAACAAGGCATCGGATAACGACGAGCCTCCAGAACCGGAAGCGGATAAGCCCGAAGAAGCCCGATTCAACGGAAGAAACGCCGCTCCATCACTGAAGGGCAGGGGTACATCTAAGCCAGCTGTCAAGGCCAGTGTTCTTGCAGAGGTAAAACGACCGACAAGGTCAACAAGGCCACGACGAGGCAAGGGCACAGACGATATGGAAGTTGATGCTGACGAGTAACCAAGGGGCCCAAATACCATGGTTGGGATTACAGGATGCCAATTTTTTTGAAATCATGTCTATTCTATTATTGTTGGGTCTGATCTTCTCTCTTATATAGATACAAGAGTGGCGACAAAGCTGATGAGATTCGGGGAGTCGGTTCGACTTCTGTCATACAGGGAAGGGAGTCTTTGGTTTGTGGGTAATTGTCTTGCCGTATACCCTCTCATACGGGACTCAAGCAATAGCATTTCGATTTCATGACATCTCATTCTCGATTTACAAGTCATGAGTGACATTTCATGTTGTATGTACCTAAAAGGCCAGTCATGGCTATACATATCAAGCATGAGAAACATGCGAGCAAACGCTTTGATATTGATATTTAACTTCATGTCCTAGCTCAGTTGTACAGCGCCCAGTTCTCCCGTAGACTCCAAAATGAATAATAGACCAACCTGAAGAAGGGGAGACAGCTGTTCGTGCTGTTCGTTTCGTCGGTTCCTCATGACCCCGCCATTCCCTTCTGTGCTCACATAACTCGAGGCTTTATGTACAAAACAATGATGAAAATCCACCAGTCACAAACTCTGTCTTTGAAACTGAAAATCCCGAGGCCAAGTATATTTGCAAAGAACCAAGAACGCCCATTCGGTCATCGAGCAAGATGCAACCCAAGACAACAAGGCCAGGCAGTAAGGTATATGTTACAGTGGCGAAACCTCTGTTTCACATGTTGCTTGAGAAGCGCCCACATAATAAATCGGAAATTCAGGGATTGGCCTCCCTCGCCACGCGCTTCGCAACAGCATTCTTGTGCCCTGAAAAATCGAGATGGGTCTCAAACTTCTTAACCGTCATATCTGGGCCAGGTGTATAGAGCTTGGTTGTACAGTCCAGGCAGCGGATACGCGGCAGCCAGGCATATTTAACACCTTCGGGCAGAGGCTGGCCTTGGATAGGGAGCTCTGTCACGGGGTGCAGAAAGGAGTACTTCATCGTGGCCTCGAACCTGTCGCCACGGTTATAGGTCTTCTCTAAATCCTTGAGGGCATTGACAAGCCATTCCGGGGCCGGGGGCTGGAGGAGCATTGCAGTCAGTACCACTGTCGATGTGCGTTATTGAAAGGCTTGGTGACCTACTGATGGCATGTGAGAAGACTGTCCAGGAACTGTCGGGGGTGCCGGTAGCCGGCCAAGTTGACCTGGCGGAAGGGACGAGGATGGAGTTGCTGAAGCGTGAGGCATAGCGCTGGACGGGGTCGAAGGTGGCGGTGGCATGGATCGTGAGGGAGTGGAGGCGCTGGGTGCTCGTGGGAAGGACACTGGTGTCTGAGATGGCGGCCTCAAGTCTGAGTAGTCGCGGTTCATTAGCCGCCTCAGCTTGTCGCGGGACAGCTTGAGTGTCACGATCAACTGCAACGGCTCCTCTGTTTCCTCTCTGAATCGGCGGGAGGTCCTAGTCTCGTGGTGATGTGTAATGGCACTCGATTCAGGGGTTTCAGACCGGCCGATGTTGGCCATTCTTTGTTGAGCTGCAGATGCAGCACCGCGCATACCTCGTGTTCGAGCAGTACCGCCCGTGATTTGTGACGGGGCGGGTGAGTCAGGAGCTGAATCGTCGCTATCATCTGAATCTGAGATCTCTCCATCACGTACAACGCGCTTCGCCCTAGGGCCAGCAGCCCGTTTGTAGAGTCTACTCTCGTCGATGGTAGCCGCAGCTCCAGGCAAAACAGAAGAGACGACCAATGTTCGAATGGTTCTTTGCCGTTCTCTAAGATCGGGCAGCTGGGGACCTCCTCTTCTGTTGATCGATCGCTTCTGGCGACGCTGCTCACGAGAGAATATCGTCTCGTTCCGTTCCAGATCTGCTTCGCTGAGTTCGTAGAGGTATGGTGCGTATTCCTTGGCCTGCTGCTGCGGTCGGAAGACAGCAGGGAGCGGTGTCTGGAGGAATGCGCCGACGAGATCAGGGTCTTCGACTGGCCGACCATCGAACGGGTGGCCAACGCTGTATAGACTTCTGGTAAAGAGTTGTGTCTGCTCTCGAATACAGTGTGCGATGGCGGTTGTAAACTCCCCAGATAGGGACAGATCCCGAGCCATGTTGGCAGCAAAGTCCTCTGGCGAGTTTGACGGGTTGTTGATTTCCCATTCGAACTGGTCAACAAGGGTATGCTGGCCAATCGTAATATTCAGCTTGACGAGGATTCGCATCTCGTCGTTTTTGTATGCTGAATAGGGGAGCTCCGGGTCAAGCGCATCATCTTCCGAGTATACCAGCGGGTAAAAGTCATTGAGCTGCTCTCGCATTTGATGAACAACCTGCTCGTATACCGGTTGAGACGCGGGGGGCTTTAGGCCCATGTCTTCAACGAGTTGCGCGGCGAACAGTTCGACCTGGAGAAGTCTCTCGTGCAAATTCCAGGTAAAAGTATCACGCAGCTTGATCTTGTCCCACTCGACCTCTAAACGCAACGGGACCAACTCCTCGTGCTGCTCTGCCTGCTTCAGCATATCCTTGCGCTTGTACTTGAGGGGTGGGGTCGTTCGTTGGCCAGGTCGGGGCTTCTGGGAGGGATAGATGATTCGTGATGGTCCTTGGTTCTCTGTGTATCCATTGGCGAAGCCATTGTAGCCCTCGCCGTAGAGCTTCGACGGGGGGAACCATTGACGATACTCGGTGCGGACCTGGCGGTATTCTTGGATCTTGTCGCGCGTGTCGCTCATTATCCTGCGTGTCTGGTCGAGCTGACCGCCGAGCGCGGCGGCGGCGATGGCATCGCGGGTGATGTACCGCTCGACCATGAGTTTGTCGAAGGACTCCTTCGTACGCACCGGCATATTACTAGGGGAGTTCGAGGAGGACACATCCTTATCTGCGCCTGTGGCAGCCGAGCCCGTGGCCAGCGCCGAAGACGTTGACGCGGAGGGCTGGGCGGTCATGTTCAGACGGTAACGGGGGCGTGGATCGCGGTCGCGGGTCGCGGCGCAGCGGAACTGCCGCGTTAGAAAGGAAGTAAGCGAGAGTTTACGACTTTTTGTGTTCAGCACGCGGCGGATAGTTGGATGTCTTATCTGAACGTTGATCTTGGCCGGTGGAATCGGCGTTGTTGGATGAAAGGCTAAAGGTTAAAAACCGCGAGGCGACAAGGCTTGACGATTTGTTAAGTTCCGTTAAGTTACTAAGGATGCCTGCCAATGCTGGTGCAGGCTGGGGGACGTGAGGATTTCTGCCGGGCCACGCTACGACCGGGACGTGAGTTTGATCAGCCAGGGCGTCCTGTGGCTGGATGTAGCTGTACGTTCTGTCGACGTATATTTCCCGTGCCGACTGATGTATCTCGACTCGGCTGCGCCACCTGTGTCTGTGCAGGTACATACCTACGGAGTATTTAGGTGTGGCTTGTAATTCGGTAAGTTGAGGGTACCTCACATGGAGTTGCTCGTCATTGAGATGATGTCTTCTGTGTGCTTACCTAGATACATAGTACTTATTACTCTTTATACCTACCTTACCTATTATGCATAGTCTGCCTGGTTTTTCTTTTATCTTTGCTATGTCTTGGGATACCTTGTGTTACTATAGAGTTCGCAGTCTGGAGCTTCAAAGAATGACTAGGTAGTCCTCAATATTCTACTGAATGACCATACTAAATTACCTGTAGCGTGTTACTATAACTACTGAGCTATGTGATTAAGCTTGGATTTTGGTAGACTGGGAGGGCGTGTAATTACCAATGATCTTTTTTTTTTTTTTTTTTAGCTGATTGTGAACCTCGTCACATAAAGTCGTCGACAAGCTTGTGACCTTAAGGTTGTGATGTTGGTGATGATGATGTACGCCTTGCGACGGCCGAGGCCAGACAGCCTGCACGTAAAACGTAAATACATTGAGTCTAGTAAGTCAATAAGTTATGATGCACAGGTGCTACTAACAAGTCGCCCTGGAGCAGCAAACCAAACTCCAGAATTGTTACATACTGGGCGCGGGACCTGGGAACTGTAGGGTATGCAGCCAACAGAAGCTGACGATGATGGATGGGTGTAGCCGCAGCCTAAGGTACCTAATATGGAAATAGGCCAGGGCTGGATGAAGTCATGGATGATTTGTGGCATGGATGTGTACACTGCCCCTCATTACCAAAACTGCCTGGGCTGTTAAATAAATGAACTGTGTTGCAAAAAAAGGTGGCTATCCCCTAAGAGAATAATAACGTGAGAATGTGAACAAGTGGAGAAATACAGCGTGCCCAGGCAGCCAGGCTCCCATGGATATCAGAGAAACCGTTCACCGAGTGAATATCGTCGGCTTGGACCATCAATGACTCCTCACGGACGTCCATGTCTGTCTGCAAGCATGCATGCATGTTGCGGCTGCTTGCGCACACAAACACGCCCACACTGCACGTATATTTATTTGTCTACAGTCGAGTCATCGAGGAATGGCATGAGCTGGGCCAACAACAGGCCAAATATGTAGACAGCGACTCGCCGGGAGAGTCACAACAAACCACGACAATATACAGGTAGGTCAGTAGGCAAATACCTGATGCCGAATCTGGTGGATAGTAGGTGTAGTAGGTCCCTAGTAAATAAAAATGAATAAAAATAAAACAAATAAATAAATACTGCTACTTCAGGCTCTATCCTCCACCAAATAAATACCTTGGGTAAGGTAGAACAAACCAAACCCTGTTGTCGAAACCCTCACAGCTCATCAAACCCCACTTCCAAGTCCCCATTCCACACTGGGCGCTATTCGTATTGGATTGGATTCTGATTCTTGTGTGCGCGCGTGCGACTGACCCGACCTGACTTGACTTGCTCAAGCCTTCATCCACTCTTCCCCGGCATTTGCATTTGCAGTCCTTCTTTCACCTTTTTAAACCCAACGAGTCAACAAGTATTGCCCATCATGTCGTCTGAGACCAAGGAAATCGGTGAGTTCCCCCCCGGAAAAAGCCCCAATTAGCTCTCCCATCCCATCCCTTCCCTTCCATTCCATGTAGGATCTCAAAGCTCCTCTGTAGCTCTGCCGTGCACTGGGCATGGGCGGCTGTCCCGTCGGAGGCACACGACTGACTGTTGCTGCCCCTCGTTGCTCCTCACTGCCCCGCCACCACACAACACAACAGCATTTACTGCGAATGCCCTCGTCATCAGTACCCCGCGATGGCCTCGCCCAGGCACACCAATTTCGTCGCATTGAGCTCTACTGTGCTGACATAACCACGCAGACTACTCTCTGGCTAACCCAGATACCCTTACCAAGTACAAGACCGCCGCTCAGATCTCCGAGAAGGTTCTTGCTGAGGTCTCCAAGCTCGTCGTCCCTGGCGCCAAGATCGTCGACATCTGCCAGCAGGGTGACAAGCTGATCGAAGAAGAGGTTGCCAAGGTTTACCGAGGAAAGAAGATCAACAAGGGTTCGTCTTCGTCACACACACCCAAGACTTGGTCTGTGGACATCGCTGAAGCTGACACCACCTGAAAGGTTTCTCCCACCCCACTACCGTCTCCCCCTCGTCCTACGTCACTCCCTATACTCCTCTCACCTCCGACGAGGCTGAGGCCAACACCGAGATCAAGGATGGTGAGGCTATCAAGATCCAACTAGGTGCCCAGATCGATGGCTTCGGTTCCATTGTCTGTGACACCGTGATTGCCACCCCAGAGGACAAGGCAGGCGACAAGATCACCGGTCGCACCGCTGACCTGGTTCTCGCCAACTACTATGTCAACGAGCTTCTCCTGCGACTAATGATCCCCCCTGGTCTCCTCACCCAGGGCAGCGAGGAGGAGAAGGCAAAGGCTGCCTCTCAGAAGGCCCCTACACAGGCCAAGATAACCAGCCTCCTGGAAAAGGTCACCAAGGCCTACGAAGTTAACCTCGTCGAGAGCACCACCTCTTGGTTGTTCGACCACAACGAGATTGAGGGTAGCAAGAAGATTGTCCTTGCCCCTGCCGAGGGCACCAAGGGCGAGGGCGTTCCTGAGGTTGGTGAGGTATGGGGTGTCGAGACCGGTGTCAGCCTGGGCTCGGGCAAGGTGAAGGGTCTTGATCAGCGTGCTACCCTCCACCGCCGCACCAACCAGACCTACGGTCTTAAGCGACCCACCTCGCGAAAGATCCTCAACGAGGTCCAGAAGAAGTTCGGCATCTTCCCCTTCAGCTTGCGACAGCTTGAGGACGAGCGTGATGCCAAGTCTGGTGTCGTCGAGTGTGTCCGAGGCAACGTATTCCGCCAATATGAGCTAGTTGGTGACAAGGACAACTCCCCTGTTGCTCGATATCTCACAACCCTTGGTAAGTCGCACATCGAGAGGTTGACCAGTTCGAGAGCTGATATTGACACGACATGCAGCCATTACCAAGAACGGTATCACCAAGCTTGGTGGCCCACCTCCTCTGGACCTCGAGAAGTATGAGTCCGACAAGAAGATTGAGGATGAGGAGGTTCTCAAGATCCTGGAGCAGCCCCTAGCCAGAAACACCGGCAAGAAGAAGAGCAAGCCTAAGAAGAAGACCGCCAAGAAGGAGGACGATGAAGAGTAAAAGAAAATGACAAGATAAGACGGACAAGCTGGAGAGTTGCTGAACAATTGATGAAAGAACCCGAGGATATGCAAACAAGAATCAAGTCAAACAGGATGCAAACCCAACATTCAGGCTCACAAGCATCTCTACCGTTGGACGAGCTGTGTGGATAAAAATACTTCCATCGAACAGAGTGGGCAGCTGGATGGTCAATATGCATGATTGGAATCTCGAAAAGCGAAACCCACCGTGTTTACCAGATGGTCTGGCATGACCAGAAAGATATATATAAGTCTAACACAACCTGATACTGATCAACCATGGAATTCTGTATTATGTGATGCATGTTTGCAAGAGTTCAACCGAACTGACTGAATCGTTGAGGCATACCAAGGCAGGCTGGGCACAGTAGCGATAAGACTGACAAAGATGGTTAGCGAGCGAGAGGCAATATGACCGAGAACGCAAATTACCTTAGGGAGAACACACGATACTGCGAGTTTCTGCACAGGTGCTGAATACCAAAGTACTGAGTGAGCGTGAGCCACTCTTTATCATGCCCATTGATGGAGCAGACCCCCTGGCAGCATATGGTCTATGACGATACATGGTAGCAAAGTGCGGAGAGCAGAGGCCAGACAGTCGTCCAGTTATTGGTAATGTGGCTGCCTTGAGTGCCGGGACTTGCAGATAAGGGATGACCATGTTGAGTCGTTGTTGAAACACAGCAATACCAACAGTGTCATGCCAGTTTGATGTCTATTACTGTCGACATAGGGCATCATATGCCCGTCGCACTGTTAGCTGCAGATATCGAGGTGAGCCAAGCCAGCCCCTATTTATCCATTCATACAAACAACATGATGAGACGCTGCTCTCGAGTATCATTACACATACCGACAAGATAAGAAAAAAACAAAACAAAACAAAACAAAACAAGAGTTGGGCATGAAATGAAAGACACTCTATGTATGAGCCATCAGGCTCCAGCTGCACTCTGTAGCATATTGAGCGTGAGCTACCTTTGTGGATGGGTTGGGGAGTGAGTGTGGGTGGCTGGTTGCTGGGGGCGAGGGAGGAGAGCTCTATTAACCTAGGCTTTATCACCTGGAAGCTCAAGCTATTCTACCACGGCTAAGACACATAGTTCTTTGTGGAACTGCGTACAGAAATGAATATCAGTCCAATGGAAAGGATGAAAGGGGAGAAAAAAAAGAAGAAGTAAAGCAAAACAAAACAAGGTACTATGTAAAAGTACTAAGGAAAGGAGGCGAACTCGGAAAGGTGAGCACATCCAATGTAACTGAGTACCTAAAGCCAGGGAGGGTGTTTTGTAAGCTTCAGTGCTGCAGGAGCCACTGAAAAGTATCCTACCTTAGGTAGTGGAGGACCTAGGTTAGTACCTAGACACATGAAGCATGCAGAGCCACTTCCATCCCATACAGTCCCTTCCTGGTTGACGAAAGTATGTACCCAAGGTAGCAAGCTTACTAGCACCTATTCCGCGGTTTTTACTTTAGCTGTCGCTTATAAGTTATTGAATAAGAGGGTGAAAGTGACAAAGGGAAACAGATAAGAAAAAATCGACTCTACAGATCAGCAACACTCTTTTTCTCCCCGTTATCCCTGAGCCACCTCCCCCCCTGGTCCCTTGTCTGTCCGACCCGCGCCGTCAGCTCCGGTGCATGCATGCACTGACACTGACTGACACTGGGTCTGGGGTCTTTTTTTTCAAGGACTGACCTGTCGAGGCGAAGAGGCAGGCAGGGCGTTGACCATAGCACAGCAAAAGCCGAGTCTCAACCTGCTACCCACCCACTCTCTCTTCAACATCATCATTCCGCGTTCACGACCTCGGAAAAACGCGATAGAGTTGCAGTAATTCATGCTGCTTCCCAAGATAAAAGTATTAAAAACCTGGACCCCGCCCCTTTTGTGCATTTTATTTCAAGAACACTGCTAACTGAGCAACCTTTTAGCTGGCCTAGAGAGGTGCGCTGCCCCGTCCCGCGGCAACTGGCACACACAGAGAGGCACACACGCAACACACCACCACCATAATCACCAGGTCAGGCATGCCAAAGGCCGGCACAATGATCTCGTCAAATACCAGAACTACACGATCTCGTTACTCTAGTCCCGCGCAATCACAGAATACCAAATGGAACGGAGTACTCGACGCGTCTAAAGGGGCAACAGAGGGTTCAAGAGCTTTCATGCAGCGCTGGCTAGAGCCGACCGTGCAGAGCAAAGCGAGCTTCGAGGATGATGGGTTGGTTCGATATGGGGTTGTTGAGAACATGGCGCCCCTGGGAAGTCTGCCCAAACCCAAGAAGACGGGACCGGAGACCAACTCAGGAGTAAAGAGGATTATATTGCGGCCCTCAGGGGGGGGTGCTGCCAAAAATGTAGCGCAGATGGGCTCCAGCGACCCAGTGGTGGATGTCGTGGATGTGGACGGGGATGCGGATGCAGATGCGGAGGCGGATGTTGCGATTACGGCGAGAGCGGCAGACTCTTCCCCTCCACCTGTGGCTCTACCCCCTACACCGCCACGGAGAGTATCTATTGTTCTCAAGGACGCAGCAGCAGCTGCCGACGATGAGAACGACGAAGACTACGATCCGAGTCGACCAAAGAGACGACAATCGGGGCGCACATCTCTAGGAAGACGGTCGCGACGCTCCTCTGCCGGTCGCAGAAGCTCCATCGTGACTAAGCCCACAGCAAAGGAGGCAAAGGAGGCAAAGGAGCGCAGAGAGTCGGAGAGGGAGCCGAAGAAGACTGCAAAGTCGGCGGAACGAGCCAAGTCATTCAAGGAGCTCGAGGAGGATGAGGAGCTGGAGGTAGCAGGGGCAATCACAGCAGAGGCGACGATTCACGCAGCTGAACCTGTAGAACCTGAAGACAAAGAATTCACGGACAAGGTCATCGAGGCTGCAGTGGACGAGGCCCTAAAGCACTATCGATATCCGACTGCGTGGGCTCTGCGGACCCTCTACGACGAAAAGTCAAGCGACCCGCGGTTCGTTGCCATGATCGAGGAGGTTTTCACGCAAACGGCAGATGAGGCTACGATGCAAAGGTTTTCCAGAGAGATGCAGAAGAAGAAGCGAGAGGGCAAGAAGGACAACCAAGGCTGCTACTATTTCATCCCTCCAACAACCAACAGCAGATTCACTCCTCACAAACCCAAGGCCGCGCCGTACGGCAAACTCCTGCATCACAATCAGGTGGAAGAGGTGGTCGAGGTTGTAGAGGTCGAGACTGAAGACGAGTCAGAGGTGCATATTCTCGACACGGAGGAAGCAGAGCAAGTGAAAAACGCTCATCGACATCCAGCTCGAGCTACCAAGAGGGCAAAGACATCGCACTCTCGCGCTCACTCTTCTTCCCATCACAGCAACACCCATCCCCATACTCAGACTCACGCCCACGCCCACGCCCACGCCCACGCCCACTCTCACTCGACCCGCAACACGCCACGGAAAATGTCTTCAAGTAACCTACCACAAACACCCTCGCGCAAGCGAAACAGACGAGACTCAGCATCTAGTGATTCCTCTCTCTCATCGGCCCTCAGTCTCTCGTCGCCTGAGGCCATAATGGGGAGCCCAAGCCCTGTCCGTAGAACAGGCACGGGCACCAGTCGCCCTGGGCCAGCTGGGCCCGACTCCAGTGATGCGCCAAAATCTCGGCCAATCACCACCCGCCGCAAATCACTCGCCTCCAAGGGAGGTGCCAGCCGCAAGGCCAAGCCCAAGACCACCAAGCCTGCTGCTACTAAGCAGCCATCACCCTCAGCTCTCACACTGTCCACCCCAGACATCACCAAGGGTATCAAACTCAAACCCACTGATGCACCCGCAAGTGCGACCATCAGCGTGAGCGCCGACGCCAGTATGCCAGGAAGGGTTTCTGCCGGCCAAATCTTCCCAAACCTGCCTACAAAATCAAAGATAGCAAAGAACAAGGGATCATCATCTGCCCTGACTCCAGCTCCATTCTCGGCTGATGACGCTGGCCATGATAACGACGACTCCTTCTGGGATCGGAGACGCGATGCGCAAAAGTTTGCCAACAGTGTCACGGCGACTGAGAGTTCTATCCGAGGGGGAGACGAGGACGAGGACCCCTTCACAACCCCCGCAAAATCGACGAGGAAGACGCGTCAATCCATCGCCGCTGCAGGCTCTGCTTCAGCGGGAACGACGAGATCCACACGCTCGGCGAGCAAGAGACCTCACGACGAGATTGACTCTGCCGTGTCCCCTGTTGCGTGGTCTTTCCAGCGTGAGGACAGCTCAGTCGGAGGATCACGGGCTGCGACGCCCACGCTACGCCCCCCAAAGAAGCCGAGAACTGGTCTTCGTATCAAGTCATCGTAAGTTTATATCTCAATCATCATCTTCATCACCAGCGACTTGGCGTGCATCACAAAATTCACGACTATTGTCATCTGCATATCGCTTTAACTGCTTCCACCTTTGGAAGAGACTCATGGATGCGCGTGCGAGATCATTCATGCCATGTCTTTGACTCTTGGCTTGTCTTATTATCAGCCTCAAGGTTTTTGCCCGGGATGACTGCGCCGTGACTCGCTCATTTCATCATCATTCTGCTCTGGTCGGATCATGCTAACTATGTATGATTTCTAGCCCTGTCAAGAAGAGAGGAGGAACAGCTGCTGGCGTGCCCCGGCTACAAGGAGAAGCCCTAGCAACCAACGGCGTAGCCAAAGATCAGGTATGTATTTTTGTTTTGTTTTCTTTTGTGCTCATTCATTCATGCTGTGCAAATTCGCGACATCCGCCCTAGATTTGACCGGCAAGATTGGGTTGTCAACATCATGGGCTTTGCTGGGAAATTCACCAGATGGTGGCCAATTTTGCGACTCTGTACAGACCTTGTGCCTTGTCTTGCCGGGCCAAGGCCAAGATGGCCTACCACTCACTACTGTACGGGGTAATTTCTGGTGGCCCCCGAAGGTCCGCTTTTTCGAGCTAGCCCCCAGCAGTTGAATCAGCAACTAGGAGCCGGTGACCAGAGAGAGCCAGGGACGTGTTGAAACGCGTAGCGCAGCGTAGCATGTCGTATCTAATTGCACAGGCTGAATTGAGTATACTAAGCATGGCTCGCGTTTGGCTAACTCTATCCCCTTTCTCTAGGTGTCGGACAACGACGAAGATTGCTCTGCCTGCGGCGCCGCTGGCGACGTTGTCTGCTGCGATGGATGCCCACGGTCATTCCACTTTGAATGTGTGGGCATGATACCCTCGGACCATCTTCCCGACGAGTGGTTTTGCAATGAGTGCCTTTACAAGCGATACCCATCGCGGATGCCCCCGTACAAGGGTGTGTTTGCTGCTGCCCTCGTCAACCTGGAGAAGAGCATTCCTCGCGCATTCAGCCTCCCCAAGAAATTGCAGACCCGCTTTGAAGGCGTCAAGGCCGGTGCCTATGGCGAGTACGAAGAAGTCACCACCGCCAAAACGACCAAGTCAGTGATCTTCCCAATAGCAGCTTTAATTCTAGACATGCTGACAAGGGCTCAGGAGGAAGAATGGCTACGAAGAGTTGCCCGACTTTTTCAAGCAGCGCGATGAAGGACAGGCTGTGATCTGCCACGGCTGTCAGAAGCCTGCCACAGATGTTCGAGCCATCATTCCTTGTAGCATTTGTCCCTTCTACTGGCACATTGACTGCCTAGACCCTCCACTCGCTGTCCCGCCTGTCCTCAAGACCTGGCGATGCCCTCTACATCCAGAGGAAATAATGGCAGAGGTCCGCTCATTGGCACCTGCTCACCGTTTTCGCAAGATCAAAGGATCGCAGACCATCGTACCATCTCTCACACGAGGTACCAAGAACAACGGGTACATTGAAATCGACTGGGAAGATGAGCCCGAACCCGCCAACAACTCTGGCTGGCCAGATCCTGACTCGTTCGGTCGAGCTTACAAACTACCAGCAAAGGGGATCGTCCTTGATTTTATCGAGCAGTAAGTCCATTACTTGTTTTTTGCATAATCAACTTTCTAATGTTCGTCCAGGCTACGTCGTCAACATGCTGGCTATGGCCCTCGTCATGAAGAATCCAGATGTGTGTCGTATATTCCAACAACTGGAAACGGCCGAAGTCGACCTCTTGCCGGCTCTGAGTTACAGCGGACTGTCAATGAAATGCAGTTAGCATTGACCCTGACCACTCTCAAAGAGCGCAAGTCGGACGGTGTTGACCAACTGATCACGGCTCTGGTAGTAAGTCGTCGCAACGATATTCCCTCACCTCACCACACGTGTCACCTTGCTGACGATTAATCAATCAACAGGACACAGCTGATGCCGGTGTTTTGTCACTCATGGCTAAGGCAGATGCCAGTAATTTATCTACTGGTCATTTGACCGAGAGCGACAAGCTTAGTCTGCGTGTCCTTCTAAATCAGATGGATTCCATGGGGGCTCGCATTAGACATCTGCTTGGCGAGCCAGAGCCTGTGAATATTTCCGCCACCATGCAAGACCAGGATGTCATACCGAGCATCCTTTCCCCTCAAGACTCAGCCATTGCTGAGCCACTCGACAAGGTTATGACACATCCTGTCACGGAGCCCACGCCCCCTTCTACCATTGACCACGCTGAAGGCTCTATGGATCTCGACTGAACAACCACAGCTCTCACTCTCTCACTCTTGAGTTTCCACCCAACATTCACAAAGAGTAATTGCGATAATATCGGTTCTCTGCTCGAATTTACCATAGTCTTTTCCCTTATCCTAATTCATTATTGGAGGAATCAAACAGGACCTTTGTACGGATCTCTTCAACCTCTGCATGTATCTATGCAAGCCCCCAGCGTAGCATTACGCAACCACTATCTGAAGCGCTGTCTTTTCGCGCGACCTTTTTGATTATGGATCGCCGGACTTTGGAGGGTTTCGCTATTTGAATCACGAACCATGGTTACAGAGACAATCTAGATGCTCTTTGTCTCCATCAATTCCGCGTTTGTTATTTCCGTCTCGTCTGAAGGAGACCGTAACCCAAAGGCAACCAAAACACACACGACCACCCCACCTCTGAGCAGCACAAAAAGCCCAGGCATCGTCTGAGCGGTGCCATTACTTCATTACCTCAACCCCACCTTTGTTTCTTTCTTTCCGATTTCTATATTATGCACGAAACCACCCTTGATTACCCAGTTGATGGTGGACATGACATTAGTAGCAGCTAGTAGACACAGGGTGTTTCGAGATCGAGGTGAACTAGCGCTGCGCTAACTACTCTTTGTTTGTATCATAGTTGAGAGTTGACGAGGAGAGAAAGCGATATTGATCGATTCAGCCACCCGGGATGGATTCAGAGGCTGGTGCGATAGAAGTATTTGTCAATATGAGAAACATGAAACTGAAGACAAGATATTTGATTCTTCATCATCTCAAGACTGGCCACCATCCCCGACGAAAAGTGATATGGTACAAAATGTCAGAAAAGTCTGTCCCTCAAGTTTGCTTCTATTTTCGGGGTACACCCGACGCCAATATCATTGTGTGCTGCAAATCTAGACACTTCAACCCCAGTTGTGCACCACAGAAACTCCATAAAACATCAATTGCTAAGTCGTAAAAAGCTCAAAGACGTAGATACGTCAGGAGGCTCTCGCAAATCTTTTAGTTTTAATATACAACAAACCTCTAGGAGGTATGTCTTGCAAGGTTAGCCACTCCCACCCAAGGATTGCAAGATGAAATCCTGGCATCGTCCTTAATGCCTCAAACAATCCCCCTCTCCAAGCCTACCATCGTGTCTATCATCAAACGCTGACGTTGGGCTGACCCAGACCTATAAAAAGGACTCATCACAGACGGAGCGACCAATGACTCCACAGTGACAACAGACCTAGGGCCAACTGCCGTTTTGAACAAGAATCGTAGTGTTTTATTCTGTTTGGAGTTTTTCAGGTTTTCCAGATTCGTTCAGTCGTTAGAAGTAACCATGCCTCTCCTCTATCTCTTGCAAAACTTCCAAGACCGGCCTGAGACGAGCTCCGCAAGAAGTAGAAGGTAGGTAGGCATCGAAACAAGAGGACAAGACATCCAAGTGACGGGCGAAAAACGTCAGCCTTGGCCAAGTCACTATGACAAACACGGTCGTCTTTGAAATGTGCATCCGTAACCATTCCTCAAACGCCGCTCCAGCTCCCCAATGGCTGCATGCTAGAAATGATTTGAAAAAAACGAGAACAAAACCCAAAATCCATCGAAAATGGTGTCGGCCACCCGGGGCGGCGCGCGAACCGCGGTTGACTTGATCATCTCTGAAAATAGTGGATTAGCCCCCTCTTCTTTGTTGCCCATTGCGTGACTGAGGTTGTCTTACGCGGCCTCGTCGAGGGTTACCCTGCTCCTGTTGCTGCATGTATCCCATGTTGGGCATGCCTCCCATGTTACCATAACCATAGTTGCCCATTCCCATACCAAATCCTGGGGGTGCGAATGGAGTCTGGCCAGCGGGCATCTGGGGCATCTGGGGCATCTGTGAAACAGGCGGTTGGATAGGACTTCCATTCGGAATGTTCTGTTGACGATACTGGTCGACAGATGGGTTGGGACCATTGAAGCCACCATAACCAGCCTGCATAGGAGGATAGTTGAAATTCATGGGTGGCGGCCCTCGATTCATCATCTGCTGGTACTGCATTTGTTGCAAGTTGGCAGGCATTGGACCTCCGGGTGCGTTATACATCATGCTCTGGTTGAACTGAGGGAATGCGGAAACGCCGCCATCAGCAGGCTCGTTTCTCTGGCCGCCATAGGGCATATCAAATCCAGGAGGGTTAGTTGACTGGTTCATGGGGTTATAGAAAGGCTTATTGGAGTGCGCAGAGTTGGCATGATGGCCATTCGAGTTTGCCTGTCGCGAGGATGGACGTTGGCGTTGCTCAGCATGTGTACTAGCATCACGGTTGTTACCGGTGCTGCGAGTCGACAGGCCAACCTCGTCCATCAGGCGCTTGTAACCTTGGTTGGGCTGGGCCTTGATTCGCAGAAGAACATTCTTAACATTTTCAACCACCTGGTTGCGGATAGACTCGTCGAAAAAGGGCGTAGTAAGAACCTTAAAGATCAGTGTAGCACCGCATTGGTGGTCCTTAAGAATGGCTTCAAGTACTTGGTCATTAGGTGTGAAGAACAAAGCTTGAAGGATGGCATCGCGTGCATCCGCCTCTGCCTTCTGGTTGATGACCTTGAGCACTGTGAGATAGGCAACCTTGTGGGTGCAGAGATGAACCAGATAAGGCACTAGCTGGGGCGAGAGAACTGTGCGGCGTTGAGGAAAAGTGCAAGTGTCAAGGAACCAAGTCAAGAGTAGTGCACCATTAGCGTTGGTTGCCAACTGCACGCTGTTCAGGGCAATGGTAGCAGCGAGCATTCGCTGTTGGTCCTTGGTGGAGTGATGGCTCTCGAGGCATGCTCTCATGGCACGAGCACCGTACCGGCCCTGTGAAATCTCCCACATGCGGGCAAGCATAGTCTCAAAGATGAAATCATTGTAGGGAGCACCAAACTTGAGACAGCCTTGGAGAACATAGTTGCCGTATTGGTCCAGGAAAAGAGGGATAGTGTAGGGGCGGATGTGTTCAACAATCAATGACATCTGCGCAGGGGTCTTGCAGACATCAATGATCTTCTGGGCCGCCCAGGTACCGTTTTTGTGCACCCCAATCTCGGCCATGTGAGGCGCAATCTCGGACAGCATGGCATCACGGAGTTGATCGGAACAGTGCTCAAAAAGCTTCTGTACCACGGTGTTACCAAGATAGTCGGACGAGAGCTCGGCAATCTCCGGAAGCATGTCCACAGCGATATTCTCAATTTCAGCTTGAGACAAGCTTTGGTTATCAATCCGCTTGCGGATATCCCGAAGCTTGGGTGCATCGTGAACACGAGTGTGAGCAGGCTCGCGGATAGGAGGGATTTCTTCAACAAACGAGTTGAACTGAATGGCCGACTGCAGGTTACGAGAGATTCTGAATCTATCCTCTTCAGACGCACCAAATTGTTTGACAATATCGAGAATATCAGTGGTCATATCACGGAGAGCAGGAGCCTTAGGGGTTGCGTTTGTGGTGGGAATGGCAGGGGTAGTATCGCCCGCAGGTGTACTGGCGTTCGTTCCCTGGACGTTATCTTGTCCCTTGGCAAATGGGTCAGGGCTAGGGGAGGGGAAGACTCCGTCGTGACCGGGAGTGTTGGAAGCAGATGGAGGCTTAGCGAAGTTGATGCGTATGGGACCAGCACCGGGAAAGATTTCCTTGCTGTTCATGCTTGCCTTGGCAGAGATGGCGCTTTCCACCCTCTCAAAATTGACGAATCCGCAATTCTTGTGAGTGAGGACACGAGCTGACAAGATGGGGCCATGAGACTTGAACATCTCAATCAATGTGGAAGTGGTCGTGGAAGTGGGGATGCTACCGAGCCAGAGTGCGCTGGTAGGACCCTCAAGACCTTGCTCGTCAGCACTGAGGAGACCAGCGTTACGGCTGCTGGATCTGCCGAGGTTAATTCCAGCAACGGCTTGAGGAAGATCCTCGTAGTCCTTCTCGTCTTGCAGTCGAATTTCAGCAGGGGCAACAGGGTTAGACAGGTTGGAGTTGCCGGACATGTATGTTCTCATAAGTCGACTTCCAGGAGTGTCCAAGACGCCGGCGGTACGCGCACGAGGGCGATTGGCCTGGTTGGCAAAAGCCTGGACCGCGAGATTGTGGCTATGAATCGCAGCGTTGGTAGCAGCCAGCTGATCTTGCAGAGCTGCAACATACTGGGGGTCGAGGGGCATTTCAGTATCGTAATCATCTTCGTCATCGGCATACTTGTCCTTGTTGTTGACTGAGTAAGATCGGAAACGGCTTGCTTGCTTCGTGAAGTCTAGATTGGCAAGGTAAGGAGTAGCAAGCTGTGCTCGGGGAGGCTGTGGGGTCTCTGCAAGGCCAAGATAGTCCAAGGTTCTCATATGAACATCGGACTCCCCACCTCCTTCTTTTGAGAATTGAGATTGAGCTGGCGAGCTAGGGCCGTTAGAGCCGACACTGGCAATGCTAGCCAAAGTGGACGCTCGCTCGCGTCCCACACCTGTAGGATTCCAGCTGCTGAAGATAGAGGGACCGAATGGCGAGCTGGTTCCAGGAATTGGTGCAAACTGACTCCTCTGAGGCATGGAACCGGCACGAAGTCGGGAGAGCAAGGTTGAGCTACTGGAACTATTCTCCGGTGCATCAGGATTGGGAGAGGGCGACTTGAAAGGGCTCTGAGTTGGCGTGGGCCTGTTTGTCTTGGCAACTAGGCCAGGAATACCGATCATGCCATTACCTGCACCCCCAGGAGAGAATCGAGACGGCACCGTTCCGGCTCGAGCGCGCCTTGTCTGAGGCATTGAATCCGGCGTAGGAAGCTGGGCAAAGTCCGGGAAGCCATCAGTTGGGGACTCGGGAATGTTCTCACGTAGTGGCGTGGAATTGCCGCTCGTAGGGGGGCCGCCCCAAAGGCTTCCCGGCATACCAGGTACTCCTTCTTGGGCCTGGATCTCGCGAGCTCTACAGGGTGGGACCAGTCAGTGTCGGCGCCATCAACAAATGAGTAGGAAGAGCATTGGGTTGAAACCTAGG